AGAGCCATTAGACGGTGTAAAATTGCCCACACGAGCCTTCCCTCAGGCACTGGCTACAGAAACGTCCTGAGGGAAGGCTGTCCCCTGAGCTCCATCGGGGATTCAGTGCACAGATCTCTTCCAGAAGCCCTGCCTCCTGACTCGCTCGGGGACCTCTGAGTTCCTGCGCCAGCCTCATCTCCGACAATAACCTATGCTCACACCTATTCTTTCTTTTGGCCGTGCCACACGGCACGTGGGATCTTAGTTCCCCAACCAACCAGGGATCCATGCCCCCTGCATTGGAAGTGCAGTCCTAACCACTGGGCCGCCAGGGAAGTCCCCTGCATTACTTTTCTATGGCTGCTGTAACCAACCACAAGCATGATGGCTGAAAACAGCACGAATTTACTGCCTTACAGTTCCGTGGGCTAGAGGTCCAACCCCGAGGGTTTACCTCACTGGGTTAAAACCAGGGTACGGGCAGGCAGCATTCCTTTCTGGTGGCCTGCAGCACCTTAACATTAAGGCTAGGATTCACTCGCCTGATTAGATTAAAAGTATAGACTATTCAATGTTCAAGTTTTTTAATTTTTCTAATTTAAAGGAAACAGATTTCCTAAACCACAAGCAAGTTATTGTTACCCTATTTATTGAGCTCTGAAGTTAAGTAAATCATTGAAGAATATTCTGAAAGACTTGGTACTACAATGAAATGAGTAGTAACAGCCCCACACTAGATGTTTTAGAAATACCCATCCATTCCCTCCGAGCCACTCCTGTCTGTCACCTCTCAAACCGCCCTGTGTCATGCACTCTGCCCAGCAGGACATCTCAATTCTCATCTGTGTGACCCACGAGTGGGTTCCACTCTGTGGGGACAGCTAAGTTTGTAACTTAAAGATCCGCTTCGGAGTTTGGGTGGCTTATTGTAGGTCTCCAGATTCTCCCTGCAAACCCTCTGAGATCCAAAGTGATTTCTCCCCGCATGCCGGGGAGTCTCTGAGGCAGTATGTGGACATGAGGGCAAGATGACGGTGGTGGGCTGGCCCCTTGCCCTATGGACCCCGCAGATCCCAATGCAGGGGGTGGACAGGGAGAGGAGGGGCAGGGAGGGCAGGAGGGTGGTTGGCAAGGGAGACCTCAGAGGGCGATGCCGCACAGGCAGTCAGAAACGCCCATCCCATCCCACACGAGGATACTGGAGCTTATGTTTAGGAAGCCTATATATAAAGACCAAAACGAGCCCACTATGCTCTTTAAACAAGTAATTTCAAGGTAGGAACAAGAAACCCAGACACTAAAATTGAGATGACCATAAAGTTTTGAATTCGTCCCATCCTTGTCATGAACTGAATGGGCATTCTCAACGAGGCACTGTGGAGACCCTCAGGCCAGGAACGGACTTCCGCGGTTCCGTGAACCCCTCAGCGTTACAGGATGGCACTCTTGTATACGCTGCCTTTCCAGGGTGAGGAGCCTTTGTTTTCACCTAATTCCATTGCTCCAACATGGATGAGAATTTTTACATAGTTTACATTCGCATCATCTTGAAAGAGAACCAGTGCTGATGATGTATGACAGGCCCTCTAGCTTGAACGGTATTCGTGTGCAGAGATGTTTCTAGAAAGCCTCCAGCACCCGGGTGTCAGGCTGCAGCTGGCTGACGCTCCTGTCACCACCCGTGGGCAGCCGGCTGGGGAGAAGAGAAGCCAGGTCCAGGAGGGCCCTTGGAAGAGGGAACGTCCACAGGAGTTCCAGCCAGGCTGGCTGAGGCCAGCCCGTCTCAGGGATGCAGGGATGCCCACGGCGCAGCTCAGACCGTAACGCAGCTGGCACTGCCTTCCTGTCACTTCTTCCCTCAGGAAGACAAGGCCCCGGGGGCTGTGCAGGGGGGCGGCTACCAAGAGTAACTGGGGCGCAATCTCTGAATGCTGCCCGCCGGGCAGGGCCCACGTCCTCCTCGAGGCAGTTTTGACGTTTTTGGTCGACGCTGGCAACGGAGAGTCACCAGGACCTGCTGTCTCGGAAACTGCCAGGTGTCTCACCCCAGTTCTGAGTGGTCCGCGGAGCCCTGGAAAGCAGGGATCCTGCCCCCACCTTTCAGACCAGAGGGCGGAGGCTCGGTGTGGGTGGAGGGCGGTGGTCTCCGGAGCACGTGTCACCCCAGGCCTCGCAGAAGCTCCCAGCCGACCTGCCAGGTGAGGTCCCGTCCTCAGCTCCGTGTCATTACTGCTCAGTCAACACTTCTCAGCAGGACCTAATTGCCTTCTAATTGTTTTCTCTGTGTTTGTTGTTTTTCTAATTAGAGACGCAAATTCTAAGCTTTGAGGACAAAAACTCTGTTGACTACTTTTTGTAACCCCCTTCCTGGGGGAACCAGAGGAGCCAGCAGTAAAGACGCCATGGACTGATGGAAGAATCCAGACGTGCAAGGCAGATGAGCAGGCAGGCCCCACCTCCCGAGCTATCGGAACGTTTGAGCGAGGGGTCGGTAGTGGCGTCCTTCTCCCAGGGGGAATGTTGACTCCCAAGCCTGGCGTGAGGGGGCGCTGGGCACAGACAGCAGAATCCTCCCGCTGCCTCTGTTGCGGGGAGAAACACGCACAGACCCGCACCGCCCACGAGCTCGGGCTGGGGAGGAACAGACGGCAGGGGAGGAAAGGGTGCTGGGGACAGCGGCCGGGCCGCTCACGAGCACCAGGCAGCGGAGGGGCGGCGCGGCTGGGGGGCTCTGCAGGCAGGGCTGAGCCTGGGGAGGCGGGTGGAGGCCAGCGTTCCTTAGCGGTGAGGGGCCCCGACAGCTGCGGCGGCGACCACTCTGCACAGCTCTGCAGCGACCCAGGCCTGACCCTGGGGCACAAGTCCCACCTTCGGGGACGGGACCTGCTGTCTGCTAGGACTGCCCCTGCGCCCGCTCCACCACTGCTGCCGTGGGAGCTGCCCTTGGTCCGAAGTGGCCCCAGCTCGCTAGTCTGTCGGAAGAACCCCGAGAAGTGAGAGGCCAGGTTGGGAGCCGAGCGCCCGGGAGACCTGGGACACGGCCCCCATCCTGCAGGATGTCCGCCCAGCCCAGAAATCCTGAGAGCCTCCCAATAAGTCCCCCTTTTCAGTGTAAAGACAGCCCAAGTCTGGGGTTCTTGCCACCTGCCACCGACAGGTCCTCACATAGCCAAACACAACCACCTACCTATGTGCAGTGTCCAGCTCCCTTTCCTTTATCTGCAAATCGCTGTGAAACACGCCTCTCCTCTACCACCCTCCGCTCACTTCAAGGCAATACAAAATTCAGTGTAATAGTGGGGGACCCCGAGCGGGAACAGGGACGACGGTGTCCTCGGCGGAGAAGTCTACAGGGTTCGAACGCCATCAGGAGAGTTCGTGTGAATCTCGCATTCTCGACTTGGAGAGAAGGACCTCACACTGTGAGGCTGGCTCCCCCGCGGAGGTTTCAATCATTTTTAAGAGAAGTACAATCAAGTCTTGGGAAAATGAAAAAGGAATAAATTTGGAGTTCTCGTGAACAGTTTTCATAGAAGATCCAAAAGTGGTCCTAACTTTTGTTAAAGCTAAAGTAGCAGTGATTTCATGAAAAGTAACAGGAATTTACCACTTTATTAAAGGGGTCTCCTCCCATCCGTTAAAGAAAATTTCCTAGAAGGAACCTGTCTGGTTTGTATTTATAACTTGTTAAATAAATGTCTGATGAATAAAAATTGAGTAAGAAAAAGCACAACACAGCAAGACTAGGACCCCGTATTCTGCTACTGCAGGAACAGTGCCTGAAAGGCTGAGGCCCTGCGTAAAACCCAGGTTTTATCAGGATCAGGTACGAGGAGGCCAACAGGCCAGCAAGTGACTGCCTGAAAGGCACGCGGCAGGCATGTGGTTTACTGTGGCCAGGGACCCGCTAACCCTGGGAGGGGCCCTCCCTCCAGGCAGCAAGGCCCCAAGACGTCTGGAAACACATGGTTAAAGCAGGCCTTCACTCCAAAAATCATGGCCTTTAAATACCTTCTGATTCTAATGAAATACCTAATTCTACCGTATGGTTCCTTTTTTGAAATATGTATTATAAATGTTATTATTTAGTTTAAAAAGCTAATGGCCTGTGCTGAAGGAATACACTGATATGACTTGAATTGTTTATTCCCCCACATTTTGCACCTCTATAGTAATTTATATTTTCCGAGAAATGACAGGAAAAAATTCTGACAATATTTTGCTCAGTGTTGAAGCTCAGCAGTTTTTATAGCTTCGTGCTCAAAGATTACTTTGTTTTCAGTAATGAGTTCATGGTGTCTTAACCAAAGGCTTACAATAAGAAGAACATCTTCTGTAGCCCACAAAGTTGGTCACCAAAGAAGGTGGCAGTATTTCTGTGAGATGATGATGATTTTTATGGCCCCTTGACTGTTGATTTGGAGGAATGGGTCACAGGCTTCCTGGTAGAGGCGCTTGACATCAACACTCGTGCAAACACGAGGTGCTGGCCCTCCCTTACAAACACTGAGAGCTCCTCGCGGCTGCCACCTCCCGTGGTGTGTGAGGGCTGAGCATCTGTGTCAGTGGGCCTGCTGAATCGAGTGTAGCCTGGACGTCTTAACAGATAATGGAAACACTCGGTCTACAGCACGCAGCTACCCCACGTACAGCATCGTGTTTCTGTTTCTTCTGAGGAGTCAAGGTAGTGAACTGTCATTCATTTTCAAGGAAACTGCCTGCTTACACCATGACCCCCACTCCTTCCCTCGTCCAACTGAGATCCTGTGCACTTGGGTTTAAGCAAATGACAGCGGTTAAGGAGGGGTTTCTTGAGGAAATCACAACCCACACCGACAGGGGAGCTGCTCTGGGCTCCGCGGCTCCTGTGGATTTTACTGAACCCTCTAACCCTGGGACAGGGGCTGCTGTGCTCCCCTCCTCACAAGCGACCACCCAGCCGTGAGGACGTCAGCTGCCCGAGGTCACACATAAGCCCCGGAGACCGTTCTCGAGCTCCTACATCCCAACTCACGGTAGTCTTTCATTCACTTTTATCGTAAAATGGTTCATAATAAAAATCACACGTATCACATTTGAAAGGTACAGTAAAGTGGACACTCATGTAACCCTCCTCCTAGCCAGACAAAGATTATGACCAATACCCTTGACCCCTGCTCCCACCAGGTCAGGCCCAAGATCTCACCATGGTGTCTGCTTCACCTGCTGGATCTAGGGCTGCACACAAAGGGTGGACTTATTGTCCTTAACCCCCCCCCCAAACCCTCCTCATGCCCGTGGTTCTCAGTATCATAGGGAGGGACCCCTCTGGGCATCTTGTGAGAGCAATGGAACTACGCAGCCCAGGAAAAGTGACGCATGTATAGAACCCTGGAACTGCTTCAAGGTTTCACAGACACACTAAAGCCAGATCCTCAGAACTAATTCATACTGTAACCGCAAGTCTGTACCCAGCTTGGAAGGTACTATGCTAAGTGAAATAAGCCAGAAAGAGAAAGGCAAACTCAGGCGTGGTATCACTTATACGTAGAATCTTTAAAAAAAAAAAAAAAAAAGTCACACTCAGAAACAGAGAGTGGAATGGTGGTTGCCGGGGGCTTGGAGGGGGGGACTGGCCTGTTGTCCTCCGCAGAGGCTCAGCTGGGCTCCTGGCAAAGACGCTCCATGGGCTTCACTCTTCTCAACAAGGACTCTCATCCCTCAGTTTTGAAAGATATGTTGTAACAACTGCTCTCTGGGAAAACGAGTGAGTCCAAGTCCGTCCTGTCATTAAGTTAGCAGTGCGGCTCTGCTGGGTCAGATGTGTGGGGCTGGGCCTTTCCGTCCGCAAAAGGCGGTCTCTTGATTGGATTTTGCTGAATGCTCCTTTCAGGTCGAATGTGCCAAGATTCTGAGTTATGCTTCTAAAGCTCTCTTCTGAAAAAGTTTTAAAAGTAAAGCAGCAGAACAAAGCTAAACAGTTTTAAATAATGATTTTGAGAAGGTAACCTTTACGACATTGCATTTAGCATAAATCAGCTCCCAACTCCAACGTGTGACGGTGCTGCTTCACCCAGCCGGCGCCTGCCTCCTGCGCGTCCGCCGCGTGCCAGGTGCACAGCGCCCCCTCCTTTCCTGCCCAGACACTCAGCGCTTCTTCCAGGTGAACTTCCTGCGGGCTCCCTCCTGGCCCGGCTTCTTCCGCTCTCTGACACGGGGATCGGCAGTAAGCAGTCCCGCTGCAGCATGAAAAGAGACGCCTTTATGAACCACGGAAAGAGCAGGAAGGCAGGAGAAGCGCCTGAACCGGCAGCTCCTGCCGTCAGAGGAAGAGCGCCCAGGCCCACAAGCAGTTCCCAGCCTCATGTACAACTCAGGGCAGCAGTCCGCTTTCACTCTCCTAAGCTATCTTCCCACCTTCCGAGACAAACACCAGGCACATTGCTTGAGTCTGCTTTTCTTCTCCTATGAGAGATACGACTCCCTTTTGGTTTTTAAACTTGTTCAACTTAAGACAAAGCTGCTCTGATGTGCCAGTCGGTACTCACTGCCAGGGAACTTGCCCGGCACACTTACTATTACAGATGTGAAAGTTTTAAGAGGGAGAAAAGCAAAACTTCCTGGGTGGCGAAGTGTGTGGAAGCATACAGACACCATACAGTAACAGTGCCCGTGAATATACCGACACATAACATATGACTTATCAAACATATCTGAGAAAAGAAACTTATTTTTCTAATTTGTGTGATAATAATATTTCTTGGTACTTTGTTTCAGAATCTAAAAAAGGTTTTAGAGTTGTGTTCTCAGCACAAGGCGTTGGTTCCAGAAGAGTAAAGTCAGTTTAGACTGGAAGCTCCCGGTCTCCCACCACCAGGAGTAATGACAGCTTCTGAGCAATAAACGAGTCCCTCTCAGCGTACGGCCCCGATGGGAGTGCCCAGTGGTGGCCCAGACGTGGGGTGTTGGTAACTACCACAAGAACACCAGCGACGAGAAAACTCTTTAACTGTTTATAAATACGTAAACAGAGCGGAGCTTCTGTCTTTGTCACCTTCCAGCACTAGCACTTCTCTTCACTGTATGCGAGGCTTCTGTACTTTATTAAGGTACTTTCAATGGCCACACAGCACAGGCAAAATTCACATTTTACGCTTGTCATATACCCATAGCTCTCGCATTTACTTGTACTTAGGGGGTGTGGAATAACACAATGTTTTGTGCGGAAGGCAAACAAGAACTGTCTACATTCTAGTTTAAATGATAAGTAATGATGCTTTATTACTTTTCAATATGCACAGAAACTCAAAACTAGCAGAATTGTTAAGTGAGGTCCTATCAAATGATTTTAATGACTAGATATGAGTCCTACAAAATGGTGAACTGTTTATAAGCAAATGGATTTTTAGAGGTTTAAAAAAATTAACTTGCCTAAGCTACGGGTGGCCCTATCTGCAGCGTGGGATCAGAACCCCAGCGGCGCAGTGGGAAGGCAGGGTCAGGGCCCACGTCACTTGCCCAGAGGGGCTCCTGGACCCAGAGGCGCCGGGGGCCTTGCTGAGGCCACACAGCCGGTCGGCAGTGCCCACAGTGCTTTCCTCCTTCACAAATGGTGGGAAGACACTCCTCAGCTAGAGCTGCCCCGACTGACTGTGAAATGTGGACGCAGGGCCCTAACGAACATATTGATCGTAGAACCCTTCTCCCCCTGTGCAGAGACTCCGGAATTCACTGCTAGGTGACAGGGTCACACAGAGTGAGTAAGGGAAATAAAATTCGAACTAATATCACAGTGGAAAAGGAATCTCCAATAACTTTGGAGAGAAACACCTTAGGGGTTCCATCATTAAATCGAATAACGATTACAAATTTCTGTAATAAAACAAAAGCCACCGCTCACGTGCCCGACACAAAACGGAGTCGGATACAGACTCGAGGGTCCCCCGTCCCCCCGCCCCCCGACCCGAACTCGCACCTTGGCGCATCCACTCGACCTCGTCCTCGGTGACAAAGCTGCACAAGGCTCTCGCCGTCGCCAAGCGGATGGCCCCCGCCTGCGCCGCCCGCCCGCCCCCCGACACCGTGCAGGTCACGTCGTGTTCTCCAAGCCGGTCGAGGAAGTGGAAAGGGAACATCAGCTGTTCTCTAAGGCACAGCACGAGAGGTGGAGTTAGGTTCACTGCGAAGATACACAACGTTACAGGCTGCTCACATTCTGGGCGTGTGTGAGACCCACACCAGACGCAGAAACGCTAGCGTCTCCGCCACTCAGATGCTGTGAGAGCAGGTTCAGGCCTCTTCTGCTCGGGCACAACAGCACACCCCAGCTGTGTGCTGACCCTGCTTGTCTCCCGAGAATTTTGTGAGGCTTGACCATAACCTCATAACGAAGTCAAAGCTGGGAGAACTCCTTTAACCCACTGAATCCACCTCTCCGGACTCAATGATCAGATGCAATATTAACAGGTCTTCCCAAGCAACTATCAAGCGCCGTTGGGGTCACTAAGCAAAGTGTACGATGCTGTATCTGTATGAGGTTTGTGCTCGTCCTGACGCCGTTGAGTTTTAGAGTCACTGAAACCACACTCGACATTTTCCCACTGAGACACGTACTCTGCCTGCAGTTCCCTCGGCTGCAGGGTCCTGCCAGGTGACACCCCACAGACCAGTCAGGCCCGCTTCCCTCCACAGCCAGTGAGCACCCATGCGGTGCGGGCAGGGCCAGAACCAGAGGCTGGAGCAGGCAGACTGCCCTGGACCTTCTTCTCACTCACAAACAAGGGACTGCTTTTGCCTTCATAGCTCTTATGAATTTTACTTAGAAAAGCTGATGAATATTGAATATCGCGTTTGCTTGTTTGGTCTGACACTGCAGCTTTCTGGAACCCCGAGTAAAGGTTAGCGTCACACAGTGGCGCTGAGAGGTGGATGTTACCCCTTGGACTGCACACTAGCGGAACAAGCCCAGGCTGGTGTGGATGGACACAACAAGAGCCCGGAAGGGCAGAGTTAACTGGAATTTGTAACAATACTGCTTCAACAGGGATGCTGTTCCAACAGGAATGAAACAAGTCCTACGATAGAAACAGGTATGAAACGACCTAAATCTAATATTGTTTTCTTTGAACAAATGTTCCAAAGTAACCAAATAAAAAACAGGGATGCTACAAAAGTAGTACTACAGTTGACCTTTGAACAACATGGGTTTGAGCTGTGCAGGCCTGCTGACACGTGGATTTTTTTCAACGGTAAATACTACAGACCTACACCATCCACAGTGGTCGGACCCCTCGATGAGGAAACTCGATACAAAGAGCCATCGGTAAGGTTGTACTCAGATTTTCCACTGTGCTGGGAAAATCCCAACCTCCACATTGTTCAAGAGTCAACGACATTATAAATCATAGCTATATTATAAGAGCTAAAGAAAATTTAGAGGCTGATAATCTAACCCCGCCATCTCCAGCAAGGACACCGAGGTCAGTATGGAACCTAAGGAACTGTCTTTGGCACATCACAGGCCCACGCTGCCTGACACGACTGCGCAGGTGAGTGACGTGAGTGATGATGTTACTAAGAGAAGCCCTGCTCACCTACTCGTTTGGGAGCTTAAACATTTATCTGTTTTAATTCCTAAAACTTTAAGATTCCCTAACAAATGCTTATATAGATTAAAAAACTGAGATTAAAATCTGGGGAAAAAATTCAGGCTCTATGAGAGCACTTGAGTCAGGGTGGTCAAGGCAAGAAAGGACCTGAGGAAGAAGTCTGCACAGTCAGGAAGCTGGTGCACACTGAGCACGACACTAAGTCTATAAAGAGAGACAGCAACACCCAAAGGGTACAGTTGAAAACCATTACACACCTATTGGTTTTAATTAATCTGGACTCACACTAGTACATGCAAAAACAGTTACACGGCATGAAAATACTTCACAAGTCTCTCCTCTCAGTGATCTCAGATGAAATCCTGAGCTAAAGAATCAATTTTATTTTGCTCTTTGTTATATAATCAAAGTTATTTTGAAAAAAAAAATTTCCTCCTTTCAATCTTCTCTGAATGCCACTCCGACGGCACCAATCGTGCAGCCCATAACCTGGTACATATATAAAATCACGTACTCTTATTTTTCTGTGACTGCTTAAGATGCTAACTTGTCTCCTCTATCACACGGTTAGTGCCATGTGAGGAATGTACTCCCTTTGTACAGGTGATCAATTAAGAGCTGCTTCCCTGGCTGAGTGACAGAGCAAAGGCCTTTCCAAATCAGAAAGCATTGCTCTGTGTACCCCACACAGCACCAGGCGCATCGTGGTAAACGTCTGCCAAGTGAATGAATGAACACAAAATTTCTGACAGCTCGAGGAAGGAACACAGTCGACATTCCCAATGACCTGTTTGCTACGTCTGTGTAAAAACAGCCTAAAGAAAGGACCCTGGAAAGAAAAGCAAGGAGTTCAAACTGACCTTCAGGCAAGCACCTCAGAGATCATCAAGTCCAACTCCCTCCTACCATTTAGGGAGGTGACCTTTAAACATCTCGGCTGAGTTCACACAGCTGGAAACAGACCTAGAATCAAGATCACCCACTCCTGGCTCGGCCGTCTCCCTACTACTGGTCAGTGGTCGCCTCCCTGTTCATCTGTAAGCTCGTGAGCCACTCGTGCAGGAGGAAAGGCCAGTCCCCGAGTAGCACGGCTGCCGTGAATCCCGACAACTACTGAAAGACAGTGAGGCGGTTTGGGCGCCTATCCCGCCAAGACTAGCCTCAGGCTTCCCAATCAGATAGGGAGTTTCTTGACAACAGAAGCCGTATCTCACATAGCTCTTGTATCTTCGCAATGCCAAGAACAAGACTGGGCACACAGACAACCCTTAGCAAACGCCTGCTGAATCAGACTGAAGAGTAAGTTCTAAGGGGGCAACTTAATTGTGAGATAAAGCCAAAATCGAGACTTGCTATTAAATCATCAGGAGTTATATCTGAAAACAAATTAACAGACAGTTATTGGTCAAATGCCATTCCTTACAGCAGTCGTAATGCTGAAGTTACGGGTCTCTCTGGCTTTTGGTGCGACAAATAATAGCTTCCTCCATCGCCTTCCCTGAGAGGGTGATGGCAGAATTAGTTTAATTCCTACTAAACAGAGTTAGAGCGGGCTACTTCTTGACACACACACACACACACAAATAAAATAAACATACATTTCCTGAAGTACTTATTCCGTCCAGAAGCTTACACTACACTGGCATGGTCCTCTTTCCTGACATAAGCATTGGGATCATAAGAGCCTTAACCCTTCTGACCCTAAACACCACTACAGGAACCAGGAGAAGATTAGGAAGAGAGGAACTAACCATGCAGAACTGCTGTGACTTGTGGATGATGACAGTAACGACTGGGAAAATCATAACCCTCTCAAGAAGAGGCCTTATACAGTGACTAAGGAACATATCTCAGATGGGCATATTTAGTGGAGTTGGGCTGTAACACCTACTTATAATTAATGTCTGTTCCTCCACGGGATACAAATTTCAAAGAATAAAACGGCCATATGTAGCCATGGGAACTAAGCAAAGCCTGATGAGCTCTTATTTTAATATATAAATGTCAGATTTCTTTGCTTGCTCAAAATATATATATATAATTTTCTGTGAATAGAAAAACATCCAAAGTGATAAAGCGAACTTTTTCTAATATTTACGACGGTAAGTGCCAAACAAGGTTGGTCTTCGTTGTTTTGTGGCTGCCCATCCCCAAACCCAGGAAGCAGAGGTGGCAGAGTCTGCATTTCAGAACACAAGACCCCGAGACACTCAACTTCCGGTATGATCTGATGAAAAGGGGAGGAAGACTCAATTAATGAGGAATTCTAGAGATGCTTTTTAAAGATCTGGAAAACAACATAAAAAATAGTGACCCAATCCCTCTAGCTAGTTTGTTATATTCTATTAGTAAAAAGAAATCATCATGCAGACAAATATAATCAGAAAATCATAAGCCTTAGTTGATCGTGACATATTATAAAGTACATTTTCTTTAAAAACAAAACCAAAACAAAGACCTCACCTGTCCTGAGTCACCGGAAAGTAGAGCAGGTAGTCGACCCCATTTACTTCTATCCTCCCACTTCCGTGGTCATAAACAGTCACTTTTGCCTTTGCAGTCTTTCTGTTACCTTTAAAAATATAAGACATCTATTACTGAACATCTTGAGGCCCAATGCTTTGACAGAGGCAAAACTACGTTAAATTTTTTCCCCCAGAATAACAATATGTAACACTCTATATAGGAAAGTTCTATAATTAATACAAGTCAAACAAAAATAGAACAGGCAAACTACACCATAACTGACGTAATAAAGCTTACTATGGGGTGATTTTGTTCCTTAATCCCATTTTAGAAACACTACAATGATTTTAGTTTCAACAAAGTAATTCATATTTATTTATATTATTTAAAAAATCAATTTACATAGTGTTCTTTTTAAATTAATAAGAGTATATCTTAATCGTATAATTTTTAAAATATATGAACAGTATAATAAAGTATAATTGGTAGAAATAAAAGGAATCCTTAGGAAAGGTCACACTTCTTTGAAAATATTAACTGAAAATGAAATGATGTAAAATTTTTTAAAGTTGCAGATATATCATTTAATAACTCAATTCTTTAAAGTTACATCATGTCAAATGTCTCTGTACACCTACAAGGAAGATGTGAGTCGAGGACCTAAAGTTTCAACGTTCTGTAGTTTTAGCATCTGACGTGCAGATTCACCGAAAATTTTCATTTAATATAAGAAACCTTTATTTAGAAACCTAAACCTTTATAAGAAACCTATATTTTGTTGTTTCTACCAGTTGAAAATATGAAAATACAAAGTGTTAATATGACTATGTAGGTATGCGTCCACATTTTTTTCTTGCAACATTATAAAGTTCAGTTTTTAAAAACGTCAACAGAACCTTAATATTCGGAAATCCAGCATAGCAGCAGCAAAAATAAACAAACAAAATGAACACCAAAGGGCAAGAGCAAATAAACATCCGGCTATTTCCCAATCCTCAGCGGGACGGGGTGGTCTCTCTCCATGGGTGCATTACCTTGGCCTGTGCTGAAGGCCATACCCTTCTCGTCATACTGCAAAGGCTCAATCAGCTGTTTTTTCGATTGAATGGTTACACTCCTGCGGAACCTGCCCACAAATTCTTCTTCAGCCGCGTCACACGGCAACGCCGATAACCTTTCCAGCAGCCGAATGAACTGTGCGTACTGCAGACAATAAAAATTCATTAGGAGATGCAAGTGTAATTGCATTTGCTAAATTTTTTCTATTTTTATACACTTGATCTTTCCAATGTTGCTTTTCCTGATGAATTTTGACAGGATGACACTTCCGCAACTTCATGCTGCTTTTAAAACAGCGTGCAGATGCAGCACTTCCCCTGTGTACCTTTAGTGCTCAATCTTTTCTTTCGAGGAACAAAGAGATCTATCATTCAAAGAAAAATCCATTTCTCTCTATCAGGATTACATGAAGGTGAAATTTAAATTCACTTTCAAAAAAATACTTAGATGATCTTTAAGTATAATTTCTACTCTTTTATTAGAACTGTATCAAGAGGCGCTTCATAAATAATTTCCAGCAAGTTTCGTACAGTAAAATGGGAAGAGTCTGATTTTGAGAAAACGTACCTCTTAAACTACATTTCATAATACATTTGGCAAATGTATCTTTAGCTGTTCAAGCTGTGTTACTTTAATGTTTATGATTTCCTTTAAAACCGAACAATCAAGCTATTTAAAAATTCAAGAGATACTTGACTTAAAGGGCAAGCTCTTGAAATAAATTACCCTTGCTACTCAGTGCATTTTTTTTAATAGTTCTTGAACATGTGATTAGAAAGTAAACAACTTGGTATTAACCCCTTAAAATTAGAAGCCAGAGTAATCACTCTAAAGTGTTTATGCAGAAGGAAACAACTGATACTTGAGATCCTTAGCATGGAGTGTGAAACCCAGTTTCTGATAACCTTATTTATGTTTTGCCAACCCTAAAAATCATACTCATCTTTGTTACCACTGCCTTTACAGTGAAAATCTACCATTAATAATTTGAAATGTATAAAAATCTCACAAGTAAGATTAAAAGGGCCGCTTCAATTATTGCTTCCTGTGATGTTACAATACTGGAGAAGGCAACTGTCTGAGGAAGAGTGAACTGCTAGCCACCTGCGGTACCCAGCCTGGTAAAGCTCCATCACCTTCATTCACAGGCCTGTCCTTCCTCAGCTGCTCTCAGTTCCTCTGCACCGGCTGTAATACCCTTGAACACACAAGGAGGCAACTACAGGTATGACCCAGCCTTGCTTGTGAACTGGGATCATGGCTCAAGACATCACTGACTACCCTGCCTTCCTCATCTTGACACCAGCCATCAGCTTCAGGATTTCTTCCAACAGCCAGCTGCCCAAGGTACAAAGATACCTATATATTTGGTTGTTTTGTGTTCATAGCTGCACACCTATAACAAAGCCCTAGGGATGTTTTCAAAATGAAAACAAACAAACCTGTGTTATAAAAATAAAAGCAGCCAGAAAACAGGGAACACTGAAATGATTCATTCAATGAAGGAGCAAAGAGAGGTTTTTCAGTTGGATCCACGTGCAGTGATACTGACTTGGCAGTTAGGATATTAGAAATTAATTTCAGATCTTTAACTCACCAAATGCCCGACACCTTAGTTAAGCAAATTGCAACTTTTCCAAAACATTAATTTCTTCAATATGTTAAATGAGGAAAAGAGCAATTTAAGCATATGACTTGAAATCTACACGGCAGCAAGGTACTAACAATGTTACCCACTGCCATGGAAGGAAAAAACCTTTCTTGGAACAATTTGTGAAATTTTTCTATACTCCAATCTTCCAGAAATAATCTAAATTTAGAACACCAACACATTTAAAACATCAAATTTCCTGTGATAATACTGGCATATATTAGAACATTGAGCAAAAAAAGAATCAGACTAAGACCTAAAGCAGGGGTCACCACATTCCTAGGCTTTAACATTCACTGGGGGAGCCTGCTGAAACTGTGGATTCCTGGGTGACACCCATGGAAATTCTGCGTGAGGTCTGAACCTTGGGAACTGCATTTTGTAACCAGCATTCCAGGTGATTCTGATACAGGCAGTTTTGCCGATTCCTAGATGAAACATACTGGCCGTGTGGATACTGCATTTGGTAAGTCAGGAAGGTAACCATGCGCTTCATTTCTCTTCTACTTAACCTGTAACAGCCCCTTACACTTATCATTAGCCTGTAAAATTAGCACCCACTTTACTGAAGGGGGTGAAAAATGACACCTGCCATGCGCCCCTGAACAAGGGGCAGAGGATGCAAGCGCACTTGTGGAGGAGGGTCTGGGGACCAGGCACCTTCCTGACCCTCCCAGGGCAGAAATCAGCTCCACATGTTTTAAAAGGAAAACCGTCTTATGAACACCTGCCTCCGAGGAACATTACTATTAGGATCCTAAATACAGCAAATGTCTACAATCTTATGGCACAGGTCCCCTTAAATTAAAAAGATTAATTACTCACATCTTGATCTGACAGTTTTTCCACTAGCATTTCTTCCAGTTCCTCCTTAATCAGCCATCTGCTGCCAATCGGGTCTCTGTTAAAATATCACATTATATTCTCTTTTAAATTAACCACACAATGAGTTATATCACAAAAGATCCCACAAGTAGTAGCGATTCTCGATTGGGAAACCCATTTTTGTATTATATAGCTGTAAAATTTCATCCAAGTAAATGATTTTTGAGACACATTATTTCATTTCCTCAATCTACTTTAGAAAAGATACCCAGTCTAGCAAATGTTCCATTCGCAGAGTTAGACATGGCATTGGGGAACCCATCTGATGATATCCAAGTCACTAACTAGATTTCTCAAAAATTAAAACTGTGCTTGCTTTTCAAAATTTACTTTAAAGGGTATGTTACAGACACAGAGTTAATCTGTCCATGGACTAAAGTAGTAATGAAATCCAAATAAAAGGCTACGGGTAGTATTTACAACTAAAACTAGGTATATTCAAAAACTTGTGTCTTTTGCATAGGAAGAAATATGTGAATAAACAGCCCCAAATTTAAAACTGGTTGGTCAGGTCGATGGATCTAATCTATCATTGTTTGCTAAATGGAAGCACAAACCTTCAAATACAAAATACACACACACACACACACATATATGTATATCTACGGGCATATAAATGCACAGTTACATACACAAAAATTCTAAAGAAATAATATTCAAATACAGTAAGTGCCACTTAACATACAAATCTAGAATGAAGTAATATAAAAATAATAACCTTAATACTTACATCCTCCCAAACAAAAAAAAAATCACCTATTATTTGGAATTTTAATGATTAATGCTGAAATAATGAACACATTTTTAGGCTTTAGGTATGCCTAAAATACACCAATGATAAGTGGTATGTTTTTAGTTAATTTTCTCATATATTTTAATGCAAAAAAGAACTTACTTGGCTTTAGTTTTTTCTGAAAACAGACCTTTGGCTCGCAGCTGGTCTTGACGGTTTTCTACATCTAGTAGCTTTCCGTATGCTTCCTGTGGCAAATAACACACACATACACTAAACCAAGAGCGACGCGAACCATTACCTCCCTTTATGTCTCCCATGAGCACCTCATCTCAGAAGCGCCCTCCTCAAGTCACAGCTGCACAGCAAGGATTACTGAAAATGCTCTTTAACAACGCTATTTCTCATTCAAACTAAAGAATGGTGGAGTAATTTCAATGAGAATTTAGTATCATACATAGTAACACACTTAACTTCAAATGATTTTTAAAAAACTCTATAGAAGGTTTACAACTCAGTGAGGTTCGTAAAAACGAAAAAAAGATACAAGCTATTTATTTTCCTTAAGAGTTCCACAGAGAACCAAAACTTTTCCTTAAAAAAAACCATAATTTATACAGCAATATGCATTTAAACTTACAGTTACCAGTAAAAAATTTTAACATTTATATAAGATTTCTCTTTACCATGTAGTTTGTATCTTAAAAAGTTTTCTATTAATATTTATTTTTCATTATTTGATATCTATTAGTTTACTTTCTAACAAAGTCTGTGAATGTATGTCACCTGTTAAATCATAATGCAAGTAGGAGAAAATTTACCATTTTGTAAGCACTAATCTGGCAATAAAGGTTATCAATGAAATACGATTTCCAGGAAATGAGTTTACAATAAGCAGAATAATGCAACTGTCTCCCAATTTTTTTGACTGAGCAAACTTGAGGACTCAAATCCAATCTATGTGTATTCATTTATAATGTACACATAACCTACCATACTAATACCTAAGGAACAGATGTTTTCAAAGGATGAGCTAGAGATGATATAAACATTTTTTCTTGCTTCATCATGACACCGTCCAATACCATCAGCTAATCTCAGAAGACACAACTTGCTGCTCATAGAGATGTCTATCCATATTTAAAAGTCTTCATAATTTCCAGTTCTGGGGACAACCTCTTGTGGGTGCTGATTAGAGCGTCATATTATATCAAATGTTGCTGACAGAGTCTGCTCTAAGAATACACGTGCCCCTCTGTTACTCCCTTTGTATTTACCAATGCTTGCATTTTATTATCTTCATTCTGCAACCTCTTTTCAGGAATCCATTTCTCTCAAGGGGAAAAAGAATGTAGGAAGGAAGGAAGGGAGGGAGGGAGGGAGGGAGGAAAAAGGATGTAAAGACTGAGCCTCTGAGTTTCATAAACATAGATGAGAAAAGCCGAGATTATGCTCCATGGGCCAGGACTTCTTGGTGAGAAAAGGGCAAGTTCATTTCCTGTAGTAGGGAGACTCGTAAGAGTGTGTTTTGTTTTGTTTTGTTTGTTTTCAGTAAGGGTAGTAGGATTGATACCTTAGAAAAGAATAAGAAAAGCAGCAGCACTTAGAAACAGTAACACTGGGCCGAGCATCTCCGACAGAGTGAAACTATCACTATCAATAGTTGAGTGATTCTAAAGCTAAGTTCCCAGCAGAAGCAGACAGCAGCAGCATCTAGGCCAAGCACTAGGTTAGAAATGTAAATTCTCAGGCCCCAACCCAGACTTTCCCAAGAGGAACCTGTTGGAAGGGGGGCCCAGTGATCTGTTTGAATGATGCCCCCAAGTAACGCACCCTGAAGTTTGGATCTAAACACTGGAACTCTGGGGACAAATGAGCTTAATTCAATTTTAGGGTACAGATTAACTATCTCTACAACTATACTCAAAGTATAAATCCGTCACCTGTAGCAGCAGAAAAATGTACCTCACAATTCAAAACAAACTGTCCACTCTAAAGAAAGCAAGAATAGAAGCCATCCACATACAGAACGTGTCCCTGCTATGCAACTGAAAACCATACAATTTGTCTCCCGACAATTGGTAAGCCGCATTTGACTGTAGTTCGGGTACCTGAAATTCATATTTAAAGGCTAAGATAGTGAGTTGTAAGCCCAACTGAATAGTGTATCAGAAAAATCTCTATGTACCTATTTCTAGAAAGCAATTCTGAAGTGCTCTGAACAGGTAAAATACAGGGAAAATAAAAACCTCCACAAAATGAATCCTCCCCGCCTTGTACGAAGGGGACAGACGTGTGCAAACAGCATCTCGCTGTGCACCTGCACCGTGCGCCCTGCCCCCGCCCCCGGAAGCCTGCTCCAGCTGGGGGTCTGTGGGAGCAGGATGGCATCAGTCTCCACGTCTCCACGCTGGGCTGCTCCAGAGCCCTGAGATTCTGAGAGTCCTGAGTCAGAGATGTATCTTTCAAATCTATCTTAAAAATATGAATTCAAGAGAATACCAACAACGGTAGTAAGACACCCTACCTGGTTATAAGGGTCTATTTAATTTTCTGGAATAACCAAGGCAACTAAAACAAAAATAACCGATCTGCTTCATAGGTCAAGTTTCAAGTCAAAATTTGGGGTGCTAAATGTGTCATCATTTTCCAGTGATTCTGAGCAATTTTTAAGTCCATATTTTTCCTAAAACTTTCTTGCACTCTGCTACTACCTTCCAGTGTTATATTTAGCTCCATAATAATGTATAAATAGTGTAAGTAAAATCACCAGAAAAAATGTGGAATATGAGAAATCACCATGAAGAGTGCACGTCAAATTTAGAACATGTAAGTTCTATTCATTTACGGCACATGCTTTGATGGCTGTAATTCATCAAGTTATATCATGCTCTTTAAGCCCCCTCATACACTTCTTTAAATAGGAAAATATATGTAAAGTACTTGGCATACTGCCTGGCCTACAGTAGTGGTCAAGAAATGATACAGCGGTGAGGGGTATGGCATTCAGGAGTCAAACAGTCGAAAAAGTTTTACTGGTGCATCATTTCTATTTTTCTTTCTTTTCTAGATAATAAAACCACTCCTGAGATTCTAAAGGTTCTATCTTGGTTAGTCAGAGACAACAGTCCTCTGGAAAGTACATTCTATAGCTTCAACTCCCTGAAGAGAGGTGCACTAATTTACATCAAAAAATCCTTGAGGGTATAAAATATGCCAGGAACTGTCAACATCACAGATTATCAGTGCTAGCTTCTGGTATATTGTTAAATTTCCACTTAATTTTTAAGGGACCCTAGAGAATTAGCATGACCCCACCTACACTAAGTTTATATACTGTATTTAACAGTATAATTTTCAAATATGACAGGAATAACCCAGATGTGAAATGCTGAATCATTCATCACAGCTATGATTAATATTTCATAAAATCAAAGCAAGTCTATCTACCCCTCATGTCATCAGATTTCCATAATGTATGAATCGAATTTAGAAGGTGCCTAATTTGGAAATACCAGATGCTCAGGGTACAGAAAAGAAATGCTTCAACTAAACTCTTCCAAGAGCATGAGCAATGTCATCTTTAGTCTACCAAATTCTGTTTTGGTTGTATTAACCATGTTGAAATTCCAATTTTAGGAAGGGTAAACAAACAACATTTCTTAGGAGGGTGGTATAGAAAAAGTCAACTGTATTTTGATATACAAAATATATAATAACTAACAGTAATTATCATCTTAGATACTAGTTCAATACAGAAAAGTAAGCGACTTAAAATATGTGTTTGTTGGAAAAAAAAATCACAGAAAATAAATTTCCTAAATAACAATCTTCTCAATGTTTTGGCTACTGGCATATACAAAACCAACTGGAGTAAATATGCATATAATTCATTTATCATGGCTTTTATCATGCAATTTATCTGAAGCTCCAAGTGACACACCTCTATGGTAGATCCTAGCTATCACTTTGTAAATACATTATGCTATACAGCGTATACTTCGTGTAATGCTACCCGACATAAAAAAAGGAAATAATCTCACATATAGGTCATGTTAGACAAGTACTCTGGGAAAGTACGCACCTGGGAGTAATTACATAGAAGTGCTTGTGACTCAGATACCATATATTTTTACCACTGAAAGCTCTACCATATATTATAAAAACAATTTTACCATTATAAAAGAAGTAATCTGATTAAAATCAACAGAGGCAATAAGTTGAATCAGTTTTTAAAAATTAATTTTCCCAATTGTTACACCTGGAACATACAAGATACACAATGGTAATTATTCATATATCAATGTGAGAAAATGTATATTAAAGATACTTCTAGAACAGCAGTTTGTTGCTGAATTAGTTACTGAATTAACTCCTGCTGTCAAGAAAGAACTTAAAACAGCACACAGACACATGTCAGCACTGGTCTGTAGCTTTCTAGAAAGAAGCACTTTACACAGTCATAAAGTAGTTATTTGGTACCTCACTGTGAGAAGGGTCACTACTTTAATTCCATTTTTCAACAGCACTGCTTCAAGTTTTCAATATTCACCCCCCAGTGGCAAGGAGGATGCACAGAACTGTGATACTGAGCCTCCGGAACTTCTGCTTGTTGACTCTGGAACCTCCATATACTGAGGCCTCAGACCCCTCCCTGGGCTACTGTGTGAACACAGAAGGTTTAAGTCGCTTAAAATAAACTGGAGGATTTCTAAATAAGCCAGGCAAATGAATCCTGTTTATACACACATTATTAGGATTAGAATGACTTCGTACTTTTTAATATTTTAAACTTTTTCCCCCAATTCAGCAGAGTAGTTTAAGTGCATAATGATCTACTTATTCCTTAATTTTATACTTTTCAGGGTAAAACTTTCATCCAAGGCCATATAATTCCTTCAATTTATAGAAACACTCTGAAAATACTCCAATGTTTACTGTAAAACTAGTCCTAAAATATAAACGAGCTTTCTATAAGATGCTAAATTCCCAGTATAGTTTTTAGACATGCAGATCCTTATCTTAAATGCTGGGGTAGGTGAGCTGACGTAAAATGTCAATAGATGCTTAATGTTTCTGACAACTCACAGTGTTTCCAATGTTTTATACAGCTTTTCCCAAGCTCTGGTTTCACGGGATGTTAAAAGATGTTTTGGGTAGAAACAGTTCCGTGATCCAACATATTTGAGCAGCAGTGTTTCTCTACTGAAGGGCGTCAGGGAGTTTTTATCACGCTAAGTGTCTCCTTATTAGTTTCCTAGTGCTGTATACAATATGCAGCATTCCCAAACGAGCTTAATTTCAGAGACCCTTTCTTGATGCTTTCATAACCAGGGTTCCTCAGAAAGCACTTTGGGAAAGGCTATATTACAGCCATGCCCTGTCTTAACGAATCATATTTTACAAAAGGATTCCCACTTCAGAGTCAAATAATCACCTCCCACAATGAGTTTAAAATAATTTTCAACTCACTTTTAGTGAGTTTCAAGATATTCAGAAACCTAGGTGTTGATAGGAGTGAACGGGAATTAACATTTGTCTTAGGATTAAAGGACCTGCACAACTGCCCAGGTTGTGATTGCCCCGTTCATGAATGCAGTCCCTTTGCCTGCCCGCCCCGCCCGGTCGACTGGGCAGCTCCAGCTGTGGCGGGCAGGGGTGCCTGGGGCAGCTGGGACCCAAGGGCACAGCCATCGCCCTATCCTTAGCTGCGCAGGCAGGCTTCCTCCCCCACCCCCGGACACGCTGCTCAGCTATTCTCTGGTGCAGCACCTGCTCCACTTCAGACGCACACATCCTCTAAAAAGTCTTCCCTCTCCTTTACATTTCGGTTCAGTTGTTTCTGGAAACTCCTTTTACTCTCTCCTTCTTCTTTCTGCTCCCAAAACGCTACGCTGAAACTCTAACTCACGTCTGAGAAGTACACAGGTTCCACTGGCTATGTGGCCATTAAGGAGATGGAAAGTCATCCATTTGGGGTAAAAGAGATGGATGAGCAGGGCCATCCAGCCTGGAGCCCCCTCAGTCCTCAACGATCCTTTGAGAAACTCCGTACAGCCCTTATTTCTTCTTAAACTACCTTTCACTGTTTAAGAATTTACTTATTAGTACTGTTTCATACTTCATTCATTACGTATGTACACCCTATTCGCTATTTTGTAAAATAAATGGTTTTTATGGACCTTCCCAGGAACCTGAAGACAGGTGTATGGTTGTGGCCACAGGAAGGTGGGAATTCCAGCCAACCTGATGATGAGCCCTTAGAAGGTAACACACTCACAAAGTCTGTGACCCCAGCGCCCGTGGATCGGCAAGTTTCCCTTCACCTTGTGCTTTCCCAACAGCTTCACTTCTGGGCGGGAACAATGAGCCGCTTCTTTCTTCTCATCCGCCTCTTCCCTCAAAATCCTCCTACTTCTCCACAAAAACAACTGCATGGACTAACTACGGGTTAACTGGAAACAGTGTTCACTTAAGCATTACACATTACCCTTAACTGGAAGCTGCATCAGGCCCATCTTTTATTCGCTGCTCTAATGTAATATACAACTTTAACATGCAAGCAGTGACCAAATACTAAAAGCAGCTTTGATGTTATTACCGAAGATAAAAAAGGTTAAGGGACATCACAAAGACCTCCCGGCAGAACTGCAAACATGCTTAGAGCTGTGCTTTTCTGACAAAAAACATGGCCGTGAGGGCCACAGCTCACACAATCACAGCCGGTCCAGGACATGGAAAACAGAGTTTGCCTTAGTGTCTTTCACCCTGTCACATGGGAAGAAACTGCATCAACAAAACGAAACGGTAGCAATAATGATTCACTTCCCGCCCACCTACCACAGTCTTTGCGGGGCTGGCTCCCTCGCTACGGTGGGATGGTGGCGGGGGGATCACCCTCCCACAGAATGGAACGGACCCCTCCGCGCACCGAGAGGGCAGACAAAGGAGGGAGCCAACATGTGCAGCAGTTTCAGGTTTTACCGTCTTATTTTATGTGCGATCCCTGATTCACTGCGAAACCACTCCTGTGAGCTGAACAGTGAATATTTGTCACATACTGTTTCAGAGTAACAAACAGCACCTAGCATGACGCGGACCTGCATCAGCCAGGCAATGACCACAGCTGTGAGTAATAACATCTGCCGTACGTGAGGCTCAAGTGATTGGTATATAGTTAGGAAAACATTTATCCTTTTTCCATACATGTAATTACTTTAAAGTTCCGTAAGATGCATTTTTGAAAATACAAGGGTTTATTAATTACCTGAATTAACACGCTCAAGTTAAACCAAAATATCTGTAATTTACATGTATAAACTGTTCTGATGAACAATAAAACAAATACCAAACCCACAGTGTTTGGGGGTCAAACTACGCAACAAATGGACAGACCTAAATTACTGAATTTAACTAACACACAGAAGCCCAAAGAACTCTCCTATATGCAAAGCAACTATATGACGCAAAAGGAAGACTTTATAAACTGGATGTAATTTGACATTCTAGTCGAGAGTGGGGTAGTATTTTATCCACTGAGAAACTGACCAATTTCTTGAGCAATCCCTTTTAAAACTCATAAATAAAGTTAGGCCTCTTATACAATGTGTAATTTCTTCATTATGATGGAATGCAACAAAATATCTTGCCCTTGGGTTGCTCAGTTTCAGCCAAAACAAATGCAAATGGCTTGTCAGATGACAGCTGTTTGATAAGGCTCCTCTACCAGACCCGCATGCTTTCCTTTTTTCCGTGAAACTTGGGATGAAAGGCAGAAGGCAGGGAGAGAATTAATGCAGCATACAGTCTAAAGGCAATGCTACAACCGTGATTAAGTAGAAAAGTTAAAAGGCACAGATTTTCCACAGCTTCGCTGCGTGCAGCCCATCCGTGTAACAAGTTGACAGGCCTAGCGTGCCAGCTCCATCATCCCCTCCGACAGCTAAAACGCAGCGCTGCATCCCTTTTCAGGGGAAATTTGCGTCTGCACCATGAAGCGTTGTACATTATTTCTCAGCACTGCAGGGGGCTCGAGTCCATATGGAACCTTCACAAATATTACCACAGATCAAACCAGCGGCGTCGTGAGGCAGATTTGACATACCTATTTAAATGAGCAGCAGGGGTCCCTGGGCAGCCTCGGGCTGTACGCAGAGCCTGGGCGGAGAGCAGAAGCCCAGCTCCATTACTCAGCAAAGACACTCTCTGCATCCATCATTCATTTCATTTCTGCCAGGGCAAGAAGCTCATTTGCCCAAGGTCAACAAAAAGTGAAAAGAAGGTTTTCTTTTTTTCCCCGAGAAATAAATGTACCTGACAAGTGGGGATTTTGTCCTTTGGGTTTGCGGAGCACAAATACACACCAGCCGGCTCGACAGAGCACACGTGTGCACGCGAGCCAAGCCACCCGAGAGCTGACTGGGGATGGGAAGGCCCAGGGACAAGTTCTGTAACTTGTAAAACTCATATATGAATAAAATAAAACGACACCGTGTCCTAAAAATAAAGTGGGTTCTGTTGTTTAAAACTGGGCATCAGCACCCAGCCTCTTGTCATGGTAACTGTAGGGAGCTCCCCAGTGCACGCGCACCATCAACCAACTTACGGCTCTGAAAGAAAATAAAACCTGTTCCCAGTACACGCGAACTCAGCTGGAAGGCAACAAGTAATAAAATCACTTTCTAGGCCTTTTGAGCCCAAATTCTACACTCATACACTACACGACCTATGAAAAGCAAAAATCGTATAGGAGTAACTAAAGGGTAGAGAGAAGGACTTGCCTCTCCCCCAAGGTGATCGCCCCATCACCCCGACAGCCCCTTTCCTGATTCAGGTCCCGCCTTGACACACACCCACGCATTGATACTGAGCTGAGCATCTATCTCCCAATATGATCTCAGTTTGGAAGTAAAAGCATTTTAAGGACAAACCATTCTGACATAAATTCTCTAATGCTTACCTTTAGCAAAAATGAATTAATAAAATATAAAGCCTTTCAACATACTGTCTTGTCTCTGGAAGTCTTATTTTTTGTCCATTATGAAACACACTAGGTAAATTCTGAAGCTGAGGGAAATCTCTGCTATCATTAGTTACTTAGCTTACAGTTCATATTATTTACCATAAATGTAATATACTTACATGCATTAATGAATAATATGACTGTTTGCCAGTATAAAAGAGAAAATGAAATGGGCGGCCATCTTCTCCCCACTGGATTGCTAATAAAAACCAAATGAAAACAAATAAACAAAAATAAAAATATACAGAGATCAAATAGCTTGTATTTAATTGCAATTCATAATTCTGCAATAAGATACATTTTTAATTCTGATTAACTTTTAAAATAACAAAATAGCATTAATATATAGAATTTAGTTTGGCAGGTTTAGCATGTAAATATTTAGGATATTTAATATTTCATACCCATTAATACAAAGCAACGTTTATATTTGATAAAACATTCCTAAGTATTTCACCATGAGACTTTCTGTAATGTTTTAAATAAACACACAAAATACCGAAGTCATCTTGCTAGAACAAAAGAATTTATGTTTGGCTGTAAATACAACGCACTCCCATATTCTTAAAAAGGAAAACTGGTAAAGTCAATTATGTAATATAGTTAGGAAATTAGAGACAGGAATACTGTAAGAAAGAAAAAAACAAAATGGACTTTTCCGTGCCCAGTTATGTTTCAACTCTGTGGTGAGACACCTCCGAGAGTTTGAAACATTTAAAACAGAAGGGGCCCCACAAAGATGTTTTGTGTAATTCCTTTTGACATACAGATGGTCGTTCACATCTAATAACCACCCAACTAACTGGGAAACGGAGCTGCTGCAGTAAATAAAGCAAACACCAACTCCACGTCCTCTTCCTGTATCTGTACTGAGCTGTTTCTCTGTCAACAATGTGTGAGAACTCCAAACACGAAGGCTACACTCCTCTATTACATGAGTTGTAAACTCTTTTCTCCCAGTCTGTCACTTGCCTTTAAATTTTGTTTGTGGCGTCTTTCATACTCAAGACGTTTAAAGTATATGTGTACAGTAGACTCTGCCACTTTTCCTCTATGGCAGTGCTTCTCAACTGTTTTTTCATTATCATTCCTACTAAGGCACCTTTTCAGACACTTTTCTCCCTAATTGCCTGCCTCCCCATGAAATCTTACTACCGCAGATACACTGCATATCCACTGATGTATATACTGTGGCCCTCTGGAGGGCCACAAACATTGTAATAGCTAAGATTTTTTCACCTCCTGTGAACCAATTTACACCCCCTTGAGGGCAATATCACCCCCATTGAGAAAACCTGCTTTAAGACTTTGGGCTTTCCAAAAACTATTTTCCCATATTTGCTTCTGGAATTTTTGTATGTTTTCATGATCAGAAATTTAATCAATCTGAAGTTTATGTCTGTGAGGCAGAAATCCAAACACGCATTATTCTGTCCAACAAAGAGAGTCATTACTCCATTACAGTTTTTTGAATAATACCCTTTTTTCTTTTAAAACATTACCTGTACAATATGTAGGGTATCTTCCTCTTCTGGGGTAACTGGATTACACACAGAACACTTTAAGTGCATACATTTAAAATGAAGACCGAATTTCATAACAAATGGTGAAAAATGTCTAGATACAGTGCTTGGCTTGAAAAATAAAAACACATTCTTATTCGCCAGTGGCTTACTGATGAATTAAATGGTTCTCCCAACACCACTTTCAAAGACTTCATGAAATCTTGTATATTTTCCAGTATTTATAACTCTGCTATGCAATTTTCAGTATATTGTGAAAGTAGTCAGAGAGTGATCAAGAAAGACAAATATCATGGTTGCAGATAAGACTCTACTGAAAAGCTTGGAGGGATTTTGGAGTTGGGTCTCATTCCATGTGTGTGAATATGTGTGTACATGATTTTATAATATGCATTTACATGTGTGTGTGTGTCTGTGTATACGTGTGTATATATAATTTGATTCAATCTAAGATGTCACGGATTTTAAGATACTCCATCATGTATCTTATACAAAGAAAGAAAGAAAAAAAGCAAATGGTATGCAATATAGTTTACATCAATTGTAAAATGAATCCTGTTTGGTAAAGGTGTTAAAATCTGAAAAACTGTGTCTTAGAATTCACAAAATATGGCAAAAACAAACATATGCTGATTGTGAATAATCTGGTCCACTGGTCGGTCTGTTTGCACCATTACCACCATTTAATTAAAATCAGTTTTTTGCTGCATTTTGATACTTGGTAGGGTAACTTCTTTCATTACTCTTATTTCTTTTAAAAATTTCTCGCTGCTTCTTGTACATTTACTCTTTCAAAATAAACTTTTAAAGTTTTTTCCAAAAGTCCTATCAGGACTTTGAAATTATATTAAATTTATTAATAATTTTTAAAGAAGCAACTCTGCAATATTATCCTTCCTTACATGAAAGTGAAATCTTTTTTCCAGCTATCAGATTAACACTTATGATCTTTTAAATTTTACAATTTTCTATATAAATCCCTTACATACTTTTGGAGCTTCATTTGCATTTTAGTTTCTGTTGCTCTTGATACTGTCCCCTCAGTTATCTGTTTTCTGTAAAATCAACTTTAATTACACAATACACTTTCTAAAAAAAAATACTTTATTTTTAGAGCAGTTTTGGGTTCACAGCAAAATTGAGAGGAAGGTGCAGAGATTCCCCACATACCTCTACCACCCCCATTATCAACATCCCCACCAGACGAACCTGCACTGACACATCATAATCACCCAAAGTCCATAGTTTACATTAGGGCTCACTCCTGTGGGCACTGTATGTGTTTGCAGAGATGTATAATAACATTTATCCACTGCTCTAAAAAGCCTGAGCTCTGCCTATTCCTTCCTCCCTCACCCACAACCCCTGGCAAGCACTGACCTTTTCACCAGTTCCATAGTTCTGCCTTTTCCAGAATGTCACAGAATTGGGATCATGCAGTGTGTAGCCTTTTCAGGTTGGCTTCCTTCACTTAGTAATATGCATTTAAGTTTCCTCCGTGCCTTTTCAGGGTGTGACAGCACCCTTCTTTTTAGTGCTCAACAATACTCCATTATCCGGATGGACCACAGCTTAATTATCCATTCACCAACTGAAGGACATCTTGGTTACTTTCCTTTTGGCAATTCTGAATAAAGCTGCTATAAACAACTGCGTGCAGGTTTCTGCGTGGACGTACGTTTTCAACTTACCTGGGTAAATGCCAAGAAGCAAATACCAAACTGCGGGATCATTCGGAAAGAGTAGGTTTCGTTTTGTAAGAAACCAGCCAGCCAGCCCCAGAGCAGCGGTGCCACCCCCCGAGCCCCTATCGGTAAGGAACAGGGGCTCCTGCTGCTCCACACCCACCGGCACTAGTTGTTGCCAGCGTTCTGGATTCTGGCCATTCTAATGGGTGTGTAGTGGTATCTCATTGTTGCTTTAATTTCTATTTCCATGGAGCATCTTTTCAAAGGCTTATTTTTCATCTGCGTATGTTCTCTGGTGATGTGTCTGTTAAAGTCTTTGGCTCATTTTTAAATCGGGTGCTTGTTTTCTTATTGTTGACTTCTAAGAGTTCTTTGTGTATTTTGGATAACAGTCCTTTATCAGATATGTCTTTTCCAAGTATTTTTCTACCATCTTGTGGCTTGTCTTTTCATTTTCTTGACCACATCTTTCACAGAGCAGAAAATTTTAATTTTAATGAAATCCAGCTTATCAACTCTTTCTTTCATGGATCATGACTTTGGTGTTTTATCTAAAAAGCTATGGTGAAACCCAAGCCTTCTAGGTTATTAATTACTGATTCAGTTTCTTTAATAGGTACAGGCCTATTCACATTGTCTACTTCTTGTGTAAGTATCATACTATTCCATAGTATGATTCTCCAACAGTTCATCTAGCTACACTACTGATGAACGTTTAAATTGTTTCTAATTTTTTGCTGACACAGGCTATTCGCAATTTCCAGTCTGATGAGTGATTATGATCTCTTATCCTTAATTGACAGACATTATTTCTGATCTGATATTTTCCAATGTTTACTGGCTACTTTTATTTTCTTCATTTATGAATTACCTTCTTTCCCTTTTGCCCATTTTTCTATGAGGCTGTTTTCCTTGTTAATTTTAACAATAATTTATTCCAGACATTAGACCTCTATTGTGTTTCAAATTTTCTCCAGTATGTTGCTTGTTTTTTAAATTTACTGTATCTTTTTTCTTCAGGGAGAAGTTTCACATTTTGAAATAGAAAATTTATTGATCTTTGTCCTCTTTGTTTGTGACTTAAGGGCATAATATTTGTTACTTAAAAATATTGATAGTTGTATGATTATCTTTCAACTGGCCACTTTATCTGATTCCATTCTAGAGTTTCAATCTCTTAATTCCAAAATCATAACATACTTTTAAGTCGTGACCCAACTCTGTCATCTTCTGGATACAATCTATTTTTTAATATTCCATTAAGTGGATTAAGAAATAGGAGATTTCTGTCCACAGAAATGCAGAAGCATGTTTCCACCAATTTTTCTTTAAGGTTGCCACAAATTTAAAACAGAAAATGAGAATAATCCAAATGTACCGCTGATGAAAATTCATCCTCACCAAAACCAATGGCAGAACAGAAGGAAACTGAAATACAACACTCCAAACTGAATTAAATATCCTCAAACAACCATTTGGAGTTTTTGGAGAACACTCTGAATCAAAAGTTCAAAACTAAGAACAAATGGACAAAAGCTCAAAGAAATGAAACAACTTGATTAAATTCAGGGGAGAAAGAGAAAAAGTTGGAAGAATCAGAAATGTAGACTAACTTATAAGTAACCAAAAAAAGAACAGCCTAAAAACATAATAAAGGACATTTAAAAATAAAGTAGGGAAACAACCAAAAAAATGAAAATGACATAAAGAAGTTAAGAGTCAGAGAGATGGTGATTGACTTGGAAGACAATCAAGGAAGGAATAACATTTATATAATTGGAGTCCCAAGGAACAAAAACAAACAGTGGAACAGAACTAATATTCATAACTTAAAAAAAACTATTTCTGGATGTAAAGACTTGAACCTACCTATTTAAAGAGCTCATTGTCACCACTGTAATCTAACCCTCAACAATCAACTTGATGCCATATTTTCATAAAGCTACTAGATAGGTTTAGATTAAGAATCCTCAGGATCACCAGGGGGA